ATTAAAAAATTTAAATATTAAAAAAATTAGTAAAAATCTTCGCAGGCAAATTTGCCTGCATTACAATTTAAGAGATAATTAAAACTTTCTTCGGAAGTTTCTTATATCATTTTTTCTTCTGGCACAGTACTTATTTACATGCCAGTACCAGGCTAATTTACGCAGCTTATAGGTCCCTTGAAATCGATGTTACGTTACAAATTCCTGCTACAATAGAGTTCTCTCCGATATTGATATTTTTAATTCAACTAATATCAGATCGGCGATTGGGCTTAAAAATATCATCGATCTTACTTTCAAGTGAATAGGGCCCCAACTTACCCTAATCCAGCCTTACTATTGTTAGGTCTGTTTAATCTAAAGTCTAGGGTAAATTTATAGGACAACTATAGGATAAGTGTGGGGCAGATGTGGGATAATAATAATATATTATAATATGAAATAGATTCACTGTAGGGAAACTATGGAAGAATTATAGAATAAGTATGGGCTATATAAATTCAGATATATTAAGCATCTATGTATACTAGAAGGATAATTACTAGAAAGATAAGAATAGAGTAACCGAAGTCTACTATTATATGCCCCTACCTTGCACTTAATAGTCGTAACCAACTCTATATTTCTATTGTCCTACAGTCACGTTCTTTAAATTTGACTGTTTTTTTCTAATTTACATCGGTCTCAACTGGTAAGATAATAGCACCATGCTCGTCAACAATTTTAAATTTGCTTACTAGATCAACTTCAACTAGCTATATAAACTTATCCCAGGCTTTACTTTGTTGGATCTCTAGTTTCATCATTTCATGCAACTTCGGGAGGTCTGACAGATCATTAGTGATTAATGGATAGCCATAGAAGTCAACCCGATATATGGCTTCAGTCAATTTTAATTTATTCACAGCAACATGATTGGTGGTCGTATAAAAGGAATAAATGTCTGAACTAAAGGACTTTCTCAGCAAAAACCAACTTTTGTCTTCTCTTTGGTGTCATCTTATCAAACATAAATATTAGAATGTATGACGATTCTTCAATTTTGAGTTCATCCATTCAGGGGACAATATAATTTTCACGCCTTTGATATACCAGATCTCACAGTCATCACCAATTGTTATACAGAAAAATGTGGTTTGCCGGGAGTATGCCAAACCAACAACAAACCAAACAAACAACTACCAAGGCTAACAAGAAAGCCTATTGAAAGAGACATTTAGATTTGGCAAAGTGGAATAGTTCTAAGGCTTCGGCAATCTTTAGACAACTAAGCACGTGACAAACTTTCGGTTTAACAATGATTGAACCACGAAAACCAACCTGCAAGGAAATCAAGTATCCTAATAAGTCAGGATACAATACTTAGTGTAATGTAGGAATCAAGTTAACAATGACGATTCTACTATAAACTTAGTAGAATATTGGGAAATAGATCATTAAAATGTAAAAGACAATAAATTTGGAAATTAATCTGCTATTGCAGTGAGGCAAAAAGGCCCTTTATTTATAAAAAATTCTATCTATGACATTCACATGTAATTGATTGCTTATAAGTTTTAAAAGACTTATAGCACTTATAATACTTTTAATACTTATAATACTAGCTTTAAGACTTTTAGAACTTTTAAGACTTATCGCTCTTATATCCTACCCAAATAAATTAATGATCGTCGCTAACTAAAAATAGGCTTCTGCAG